GGGTTCCTCCATCACGACTCTCTTGTTTTGCGAGTCAACGACAACTCCAGTGAACATGTTGCCAAAATCTTGCCTGGTCTCTGCCGGCGCAGTCGTCCTTTTCTTTTTCTTCTTCTTTTTTTTTTTTCTTTTTTTTTCTTCCCCTGTCGCTGCACTTCGGTCGATACGTGGCGAAGACGGGAGAAGCGAGTGCCTGACCACCACCGTCTGTCTGTTTGCCCGTCTCCACGGTCGCACCGGGGGGTGGCTCTGCCGTGCCGGCTAGCTGGTCTGGGCGCTGTTTGCGACTCGCAGCTTGGGAGTCAGTGCTCAGCTAGCCAGTCGAGGCCGACGGTTTCCACGACGCCTCGATCGGGCTCGGACTGCCAAGCAAGCAGAGGGAGGAAATGAGAAATAACCAAGGAGCAGAGGCCAGCGACCTAGGCAACTAGAGGGACCTAGGCACTCATACCCGGTATCTCGTCACCTCTCTCAGTGGAGAACCTTGTCGATTTTGCTGTGCGCAAATCAGGGGCGCGATCGGCAGTACCCTACTTTTCTGCGCCATCACGCCCCCAGGTTCGAGCCGAGTTCGAGAAGGAGGCCGGGAGGGCGGAATCCCTACGCTCTCAAAAAGAACGTGTCGTGTTTTCTGCCCGAACCTTGACTTGCACCAACTGGCCGGCCCCCCAGACCCCCCAGAGGTCTTGATGTTTTGAGATTGTCATGGCTGGCCGTCGTTTGCTGGGATGATCTGCATCACGCTGTTGAGCTTAAACTCGAACAAGGGGGAGGGGAGGGGCAACTTGCCCCTCTGATCCCGGGGGGGTCCCCCTGTTGCCCGGTTGCAAACGACGACACTCGGAGTGTGCGACCTGGGAGAGGGGGTTTTGCTGCTGGCTGTGCCAGTTGCCGCGACACCACCGCAACAACGGACGAGGAGGGTGACGGGATGGATTGGTTGTTGATCGACTGTCGTGGTGATATTGCTTCTTGTCTGCTGCTTGTCGACTTTTCTTCCCTTTTCCCCTTTTTCCCTGCCAGCCAGCTGCTCCGATGGAATATCCCCGGCGGGTGTCGACATGTATACTTCCACGGTATGTTCCCGGAGGGCGGTGCATTCCCGCTCATGCACTTGCCGCACCTCCGACGAAGACTGTCAGGGCCTGCCCAAGTTGGGCAACACCATCGACACGGTCTGACGCCCAACTTTGGGACGGAATACACCTCGCATCTTCTCGTTTATCCTTTTTTCCCCCTTTGCCCCCATCCTAACTTGACTGCCGTCATGACACGTTAAGACTTCGGGTTCGCTCAGGGCATCAGTTCAAATCCCACTAGTGCTGTGACTAGATGATTCTCCCTCGGGGCCACCTTTTACTCCCCCCTGCTCTCTCCCACCTTTTTTTTTCCTTTTCTCCCCCTCTTAACCTCGCCTGTTTCCCCCGAGGCCTCAAGCGCGGTCTCGTCTCTCTCAGCTGTCAGGCATTGGCGGGTCCTAGTGGTTGCCAGAGCCCTTTTACCCTCATCTGATACCAACGACTTCCTGCATGCCGCTTTGGGAACCCTATCTTGAGCAAGCTCAGTCTGTTCCGAGGCCCAGCAGAGTTATATCGGCCGTCGGCCTTAACTACCCACGTCACCCACGCGGCCACTCTTTTTGGGCTGTGCTGCTCTAGTCTTCGTTCTTTGCTTGTGTCGCGCTCTGGCCCGGATAGCTGAGCAATTGGGGGGATATACCTACGCTACCACCACCCATTGGGCACTACGTTTCCTTTCCATTCCTGGTGATACCCGAGCATCAGCGTCGATCGCTGTAGCAACACACACACACACACACACACATACACACACACACACACACACGCACGGCTGTATACACGATGCCGTCGTACGCGTCGACGCCTTCGCCACGGTACAGCGTGTACGGGAATCACCACCACGGGCACGACCGCAGGCACGAGCGCCCGTCAGTTCCCCTGCGCTCGCCAACCGACACGAGCTTCTACAATGACTCCAAGAAGCCGCCCGTAATCGAGGTGCTGCAGCGGCCGGCGGAGGCGCAACGGCCGCTCAGCCGCGTGGTGAGGCCGTACATGCCCGGGCCGACGCCGAGCGACTCGACCGAGAACCTGACCGACATCAAGCTGCGCGACTGGTCTGAGACGCGCGACGACCTCGTCGTCGGCACGTCGCAGCTCTTCACGGCCTCGGGTCAGCGGCGCTTCATCCCAATGCCGACGCCGGACCCCAAGGACCCACTGAACCTGCCCGAGTGGCGCAAGTGGACCGCCATCGCGGCCCTGTGCTTCTTTGGCGCCCTGGCCCTGTCGGCCGAGGTCATCATCGGCGCCCTCGTGCCCATCTTCGTGCTCGAGTACGCCGGCATCGACCCCAAGATCGTCGGCAAGATCGACCTGGGCGCCCTCGTGCCCCCGGGCACCGTCGACTTCAACCCGCTCGGGCTGCTGGCCAAGCTGGGCGGGCCGCCCATCGACCAGGTGTCGCTGCTCAGCTCCATCCCGCTGCTGGTCAACGGCCTGGCCTCGTACATGCTGGTCCCCTTATCCATCGGCGTCGGCCGCCGCCCCATCCTCCTCTTCGCGGGCTTCTGCGCCTTCGTCGGCGGCTTCTGGGCCGGCGGCTCCACCAGCCTGGCCAGCCACCTGGCGGCGCGGTCGCTGCAGGGGCTGGGCGCGGGCGCGGTCGAGGCGCTGATCCCGCTCATCGTGCAGGACATGATGTTCATCCACCAGCGCAACAAGTCCATCTCGCTCATCGCCGCGTCGCAGGGCCTCATCATCGTCGGGCTCGGCATCTCGTCGCCCATCATCGTCGCGCGCCTGTCGTGGCGCTACCTCTACTGGATCACGTCGAGCGCCGCCGTGGCCGCGTGGCTGCTCATGGTGGCGCTCGTGCCCGAGACCCGCTGGGTGCGCAGCGCCGAGGAGCTGGCCGGCAAGGAGGTCTACGAGCTCAGGCCGGGCGAGACCCGGCCCAGGCTGGACCCGGCCGTGTACGGCCCCCGGACCAACTGGAGCGACTTTGGCGTCTTCAACGTCCGGTCCGAGTGGCGCCTCGCCGGCCAGTCCGTCTGGGACACGTTCCGGTCCACCCTGTTCCCAAACATCTTCTGGGTCATAGTCGTCAACTCCATCTTCGTCTCGATGCAGGGCGCCGCCGGCCAGGTCGGGTCCAGCCTGCTCATCGCCGCGCGCTGGAAGTTTGAGCACCTGGGCGTGGCCGTCGTGCCCATCGTCATCGCCACGCCCTTTGTGTGGCTGTTTGGCGGCTGGGTCGCCGACGCCATCAGCAACGCCCACGCCCGCCGCAACGGCGGGCGCCGCGAGCCCGAGGCCCATCTGCTGTCGCTCATTTTCCCGCTCGCCGCCGGCATCACGGGCACCGTCGTCTTTGGGTACGCCGGGCAGAACATCCTGACGGTGCCGAGCATCACGGTGCTCGTGGGCATCTTCTTCATCGGCTTCGGGTTCCTGACGGCCAACGCGCTGTTTTCCGTCTATCTCGTTGAGAGCTATCCCGCCTATGCCGGGTGAGTTTTTTTTTTTTTTCTTTGTCTGACGTCACCTCCCTACTTCACCACTCCCAGAGACACCACCAGCTAACAAAACACCCCCCCTCCCCCAACCAGTCCCGTCCTCGTCAACGTCTCGTCCTTCCGCCTCATCGTCGGCTTCATCATGTCCTTCAAGGCCACCCAGTGGGTCCAGGACATTGGCTTCCTCAATAGCTTCGGCATCTACGGCGGCGCCCTGGCCGTGTCGTGCCTGGGCCTGCCCTTTGTCTACTTCTACGGCAAGCGCATCCGCGCCTGGACCGCCGGCACCCTCGCCCCGTCCATGGCCAAAGACGACAGGGAAATGTGATGCGGCGGCGTTGGCGTGATGGGAGGGGGAACTCTGGAGTTCTTCTTCTTTTCTTCTTTTTTTTTTTTTCTTCTTCTTTCTTTTTCTTCTTCTTTTTCTTCATCTTTTTCACCTTCTTTTTCACCTTCTTTTTCTCCTTCTTTTTTACCTTCTTTTTTACCTTCTTTTTTACCTTCTTTTTTACCCCGGTGTACCCTGTCGTAGCAGGGGGAGGGCTTATTCTACGTTATGGGTGCTCAGGATTTTGCCATGGGCCAAATCGACAGCCTCGGTCCAGAGGTACTTGAGCATGTGTACGAAATAACGGCTGCCGGTTCAGGGACGAGCTGGGTAGCACGGCAGGTCCCACTGCTTGTCTTTCTTTACTCTCTTTTTTCTTTCTTAATCTTGCATGTATATAGTGTGCGCCACACTTTCGGTCGCTCTTTCTCCTGTTGCCCTCTTTACACATTGAAGACAATCTTGTTTATTACCATTGACACCTTTTGAAGCCATTACTCCAGCCGCTTGCGTCGTCGCACATCGTGGGCGCATTTGTGCGGGACCAGAATGTCCAACACCTAGCATTCGTGGAAAGTGCAAACTAGCCCTTACGGATTGGGCGCATGGACAAGACTCCAAGATTCCACCGTGTGTGATTTGTTAGAACCAGAGCATCCGAGGATAATATTTTTCATTATTTCGCAAAGGATGCGTCCCAATCACCCGTAATCACACCAGGCTATTAGGCAGACGCCAGGTCACCCTGTAGGCACACGCTAGACCATCGGCGTGGTCAAGGGAGAGCAAGCGGCGCCCCTTCCGTCATTCCGCATATCTGTGCGTATTGCCGGCCAAAAAGGGAGATAGGGACGGCTGGGAGACCAAGGAAGAGCTGGATCGAACCCCGAATTTCCAGCAATCTTGGTTCGCTCCGCCCCAAGCGCCAGGAAGGACAGAGGCTCGGGGGATCGTGACGGAGATGGGTGGCGCGTTTCACACCAAGCAGCATAAATCAGTGCGGCCCAGCATCAGATCGAACCGCCTCTACCCAACGACCCTGTGCTCCTCCACAAGCCTCCACACTGCAGGTCGACATAGCGTCTCGCCGACGTTGCGCACGATGCACCGGTGCCAGCTCCCGTCTTCCTCCCCCTCGTCCGCAGCCGTCGCCCCCAGCTCCACGACCCTGGCAGCGCTCAGGTGCGCTATAGCCTGCCCCCTGCCCGTGGCCAGGTTGTAGCCGCCACTCGTCACGAACCCGATCAGGTCGGCCTCGAGCGCGGCGAGCGGCGGAGCGGGCGGCTTCCGCTCCGACTCCCCGCCGGCCGCCCCCATTGCGTCGGTGCCGCCGAAGAGGCTGGCCGCTAGGATCTGCTTGCGATCCTTGAGGCTGGCAAACTGGGGGAATCTCCTGTTATCGCTTTTCGGGCCCTGCTGCTTCCCGACTCTTGCCGACTCGAACTCGCCAAGCCACGCCTCCCGGAGCGCCCGCTTCTCCGTGTTTTTGTGCTCGGGCAGCGTGTACACTCGGGCGCGGGGGTTCGGCACCCCGCCTCCAAACATGGTGATCTGCACAGTCACCAGAGCAAAATCGGGCACCGTTGGCTTTGCTGCATTCGTGTCAAGGCGGCGGGTCGCTGCGAGAATGTAGTCTCGGAGGCCGCAGGGTTTGACGTTGACGATGGAGCCCATTAGAGGATGAGTTTCCACATTCAATGCTGGTGGGTCCGTGGGTGGCTGTCCGTTTTGTTGCCTCTTGTTATTCTCGCCGTGGTCATCTTTGGGTTTGCATCTCGGTGCGAACATGTACTCCCAGTCACAGGCGAATGGATCCCCATGCTCGCCCTTGCGGCTGGGACTATCCCGGCAGCCCTGCGGCCGTAGGTCGAGTGCTTTCCAGCTAGTCCGTTTGCCCTTTGGGCGGCCCTCCCACTCGTTACCGAGGCGCTCTCGTTCCTTCAGCTCCCAGGCCAGCCCTGCCCGCGTGGTCGGAAAGTCGACTGGGAAAAAAGGAACGCCACGCTCTGTGTGGGCCCGATGCGTCTCCTCGAAGCAGGCCACCTCCATCGGCCTGGCGGCACCAGGCCCCGTTTTCTGACTGGCCAGCCGTAGCCAGAAGGTCTTGACGGCCTCTCGCTGGCAGATGAGGGTCCACCCCGCCCCCAGTCCATGGGCTTTCGGATGGGAGCAGACAAGCAGGATGGGTATTGGGTCTGCGTCGTCCTTCCCAACTTTACTAGCCGGTTGGCCTTGCTTTCGACGTATGGCATACAAAGCTTTGGCTCGCCTAGCGGGATCGAAGAGAGCGAATGGCCGCGGGTTTTCCTCGGTAGCCCAGGTCTCCTGGGCGGCCAAAAGCTCTTCGACTTCGTCATCCGCACCCTCCTGCGGTGCAGCTATCCTGTCAGGCGGTGGTCTGTCCGGTGGTGCTGCAGATAGCCCGAGGCAAATGTTGTAGCCCAACATATCCATCTGTGTCCGTTTTAGGGCGGCGAGGAGACGCCAATGTGTCGACTCGTAACCCGTGGTGTCGGGCAGATGGTGTGGTCGCACGACACCAAGCAACTTGGCCGTGGCCCCCGGGCCGTGAAGGTCTATACAACCAAGCTCAGCAGAAAGGTCAGTGACAGCCACGGACCCTGACTCCTGATGGGGGCCTTTCGCCGCGTATTGGAGGAGCTCCAGCGCCCGGCCCTCAGTGTCAGGCTCAACCTCGATGAGAACCTGGCGCTGTCCCGATATCTCAGGAGACACCGTATGAGTCGGACGCGGGTTCCATATGGCGCGCGCAGGTGTGACGTCTTCCAGGTGACCCGAAGGGCCCGCACCGCTTATCATGCCAACCCAGACGCGGCAGCCGCGAACCCAGTCCATGGTGGCGCCTTTTGGGTGTACTCCTATGGACTTGAGTACCGCCCGCAAATCATCGGCGGAGCCCGATAGTTGGATAAAACCACGGTGACTTGCGTCGCGCATAAAGGCGGACGTGTTGAGAGCTCGATGCATCTTGCGCACAGTCTTGGTGTTCATGTTCAGCGGGGTTGGCTTGCTGAAGAAGGGATTGTCCCGGGTCGACATCTTGGCTCGTTTTGCATGCCAGATGTGTGTAGGCAGCTGTCCCCTTTTCTCCCGTTTACCTCCCTCACGGGGTGGAGGCGAGTCTGGCATATCAAGGTCCGTGTCGCCCATGACGACATCCTCGTCGTCTATCTCCATGGAATCGGCGAGGGTCTCGCCCGCTTCACCCGCTTCTTTCCTCTCGTGATGTTGCGGCTTAATATGGTCTTCTAGCTTGCTTGCCTCCTTCATCACTTTGTTCAGCTTTTTGGTCTTGGCCAGGGCCTGGCAGAGCTTTCCCGTTGCTGGGGCCTCTCCATGTTTCGATATCTCGCTCAGGAGTTCGTTGAGCCCCTTTGACTTTGCAGAAACCTGAGCGAACTTTTTAGCCTTGGCGACGATAAAGTTGATCTGCTCCGTCTTGCTAGAGGTTTCGTCGCCAAGATGGGGCTCTTCGCGGTCCAGAGACTTGGCGAGCTCCCGTGTCTTGGCCAAGGCGCTGCCTAGGGTCTCGATCTGCGCCTTGAGGGCTCTGGCCTCGCCAGGCTTGCTAGAAGCTGTGCCCGTAGCAGCTGAGCCATCGTAACAGGTAGCCTGGGTCTCGGCTGCAGCCAAGAGCGAGGTCCGTAGGCGAGCCGTCTCGGCCAGGAGGACGAGGAGTTGCCGCCTAGCCTTCCTGGACTTGTCGAGGGCCCTCGCGACGCCCTGGTGCTTCTTCCTGGGCTTGAGGGGGGTGTTGTCGGCGGCCATCTCGGCCTTGGCGCGGACACGCAGGCGGGCGGGCACGCGCTTGGGGTTGTGGCTCGCGGTGCGGCGGCGTAGGTCGCGGGGCACCTGCTGGAAGGCACGGCTGGTGCCCGAGGCCCTGCTCCGGCGCATGGCGGCCTCGAGCCCGCCGATGCTGTGGTGCAGGGCCTCGAGGAAGTGGGGCAGGTTCACCTCGCCGTCGGGGGTCAGGGCGTCGGCGGCCGAGGCCTGGACGGCGATGCTGCGGTCGACGCGGGCCTTGGCCTTTTTGTTGGGCCGGCCGTTGCCGTTGCCGTTGCCCGGCTGGTGGTCATGGTCGGCAGCACCAGCCTGACGCTTCTTTCCAGCGGCCTGGGAGGCGGCGTCTGGCCGGGTGACCTGTTTGGGGCCCATGGTGGTGTCGCATGTGCTTTTGTTCAGGCCGACACGTGCAAAATTCCTGCAGCTGACGCTGAAAGGAACTGATGGCAGATGGACTGAGGCGCGTTGGGTCGAGACCCACAGGTCGCCAGACTTTTAAGCGGGCCCAGTTGTAAGCGCTTGCGACGGCGACAGTCCCGGGCTTCTGGGAAGGATTTTGGGATGGGATTTGGACTGTCCATGTAATTGCTCTTCTTGCATGTGAATTCCAGTGTGCTGGAACCAGTGTGCTGGAAGAGGAATTGGGGTGCGCCACTTGACGGGCTTAGCGGCTGTCTAGCTGGTCTGGGCGGTGGGCTTGACAAAGCAAAAACAGGCCTCGCACAGAGCACCTACTGGTATGCTAACCAACGAAAGCCCAATGGTCAGGGCTCAGTTGCCAGGGCTCAGTTGATGCATGTAATCTGCCATTTATTGTCTGTCCACGCTGCTCTGTGCATCGGCCTGGCTTGTGCGATCTGGGCTAGCAGCAAGCTCGATGACTATCGCTTCTTATCTCAGATTGCACTCTGCTATTTTTTTTTCCGGGTTCCTGTTCGTGATGTTGTCGTTGCCCCTTTTTTCCCTCTGTCGCACCTCGGCAAGCGTCAAGAAAGAGCGCCCCTCCACCAGCGCAGGCAGAATACGCCGCTTGCATTGAGCCAAAAACGGGTGGCGGCCAGATGCCGAGTGTGTCCGCAGTTGGATCCGTCTGATCTCGTCTGCGGCATCGAAGGCGCACCCACCGAACTGGACGCCCACCGGCTCGAGATCCCGAGTCGCCCAAACTCCAAGCAAGCCCCTGCCTTGCGAAACAGGCTCCCGCTTTCGCTTTCAGCCAGCAATGACTTCTCTCAGTAAGCACGCCCATCGTCGCATTGCCGACCGACATAACTTATTCTGTCCCTCCTCTGCTGGGTTACATTACCGTGTCTGCTTGGCTGGGCTGGATCCGGCAAGAGAGACATTCTTGCACGTCACAAGCCATTTGCGTCACTGGGCTGCGCCGTTTCGCTTTATTCTAGCTGGGTGGGCACTTCAATTGGACAAGCCACTTTTCACACATGGCCTTTTGCCCTCCTTCCGTCCTGCCTCTTCGCCAACGCCTCAATCCAGCTGGGCAATTCTGAGAGGACAGGAAAAGACAGAAGGAGCAACCCGTCTACCTCCACTGGGCTTTTTGTTTGCCGCAAGGAAGGGGAGCCCGGGGAGGAGGGGTGATGGACAGAGAGAGGCTGCTGCATGACTCTGGGCCAACCAGCAACGCCCCCTTCGTCGCAATTCACAGACAGGACAATTCGCAGACAGGACAGACAAGGCCACCTCACGAACCGAATCGTCTGTTCCCTCGACTAACATGAAGCATTTTCTACCCACAGTCAACAAGGCTAAAAAGGTATGTGCCGCCGTGAGTTGATCGCTTTACTTTCACCTGCTGACCCTGCTCCTCATCGCAGCCCAAGTTTGACCTACATCTAAGGGTATGTATTTGCTACCTCGGCCAATGCGCCAGCGCCGTGTTGATGGCGGCGTCATACTCGCGGCCACTCTCGCACACTACTTTTGATCTTGGCTCCTATGCTACCGGGTCAAGGCCTACCTAGCCACAGACATGGACCCTCGTTTGCTAAGACGTTTGTCCCCGCGCCTAGATCTATGACCTCAACAACGTGCCCCTGGTAAGCGGCGTCTCCCAGGTAAAATGGCACCTCCCGCACTCGATCCACGGCGAGCACCGCGGCCGCACCGACAAGCGCCCCATCGCCAACCACAAGGTTGAGTACGACTTTGGCCGTGTCGTCCCTGTGCGCATCCATATCGACCGCAACAACAACCTCGAGGAGTGCCCCATCGAGTTCGAGGTCGCGCAGGAGTTTGGCCCCGGCGAGGACAGGGTTGTGCTGGGCAAGGTCACCCTCAACCTGAGCGAGTATGTCGTCGAGAGCGAGGAGATTTTGCGCCAGCGGCCCCACGCCGCGTCCGGCGCCGGCGGTGTTAATTCAGCCGCCGCCGCCGTTGCCGGGGTTGCCTCTGCCGCCTCGGCCGCTGTCGGCGACCAGCTCCACCACCAGGCCGGCAAGCTGGGCATTGGCCACTCGCGCACCCGGAGCGCGACGGTCGGCGCCAACGCCGCCTCCTTTGTCTCCTCTTCCACGTCCTCGCAGCCCGCCAGCTCCAGCCCGTCGAGCAAGAAGGACGGCGGCAGCAGCGGCGGCGACAGCGGGAGCGGCAGCAGTGGAAGCACCCACCAGAACGACGGCGGCACGATCCTGCACCCTGACGTGCAGGAGGGCGTCATCCGCCGCCATCTGATGCAGGAGAGCAAGATCAACAGCACCCTCAAGATCGGCATCCTGATGATCCAGATCGACGGCGACCGCAACTTTGTCGCCCCGGCCCTCCGGACTGCTCCGGCCTTTGGCGGCATCGCGGGCCTGGGCGTCACTGGCGAGCAGCTTGACCAGGACGACACCAAGCGCCGTAAGTTTGTCTCACTAATTTACAGCGAAAGCATTGCTAACACATGCTACCAACCTTGCTCAAAGACGCCCCAACCGTCTTGAAACACCGAGACCCCGCCGAGCTGGACATGTACCGCACAACCCTCACGGCGTCCATCGCCTCTCCCCCGTCCCAGGGCGAGCTGGCCGCCGACGCGTGCATCGAAGACATATTCAGCGGCGGCACCGGCTTCACGGATCCGGACGTCGGCCCGCTCCTCTTCTCGGACGGCAGCGGCCGCAACTCGGCCATGAGCCACCGGGGCGTGGGCTTCGCCGACGACAGCAACGACGTGGCCGCCCGCAGCAATGCCACCAACCACCGCCGCCAACGCTCCGGCCGCTCCGGCCGCTTCTCCGCCACGAGCTCCCTCGCACCCCCATCGCCCTGGGGCAACGGCCACGGCAGCGGCAACGGCAGCCCCTCGTCGGCCGATGACGACGGCACCGGAGGTGGCGCAGGAAGCGCCACGCTGCGCCCGCGCGACGTCAGGGGCTTCTTCGGCACCAGGCCCGGCGACGGCGGGGCGCGGCCGTCCAACCACCGTCGGCAGCGCAGCGGCGCCAGCGATAAGAGCGCGCGCACCCTGATAGTCAGCGCCGGCGGCGGCACCCTCTCGCGCAGCAGGTCCCGCGGCGAGCACGACGACAACAGCAACAACAACAACAATAGTAACAGCAGCAACAGCAACGGCAACGGTGCCGCCAGGAGGGGCGGCGGCGTCAGCAGGGAGCCGTCGCGCGCCCGCTCGGGCAGCCTCGTCAGCCTCGCCACCACCAACGGCGGCGACAGCAGCGACCGCAGCGAACGCGAGCACCGCGGCCGCGACGGCTTCCGGCGCGCCCGCGAGGTGGACGAGTTCGAGGTCCGCGACGACCTAGTCGCCTGGCGGCTGCCGGGGAAGGTGTCGTAGGAGTTGAAGAGAGTGGGAAGGGAAGCTCAGTAGTGATGGTGGTGGTGGTGGTGGCGGCGGGCTTTGCTTGTCTTTGCTTTATCTGGCTCAACTAGAAATGAGCTGTTTGCGTTTTCTTGCTAAATCCTTTCTAAAGCGACCTCCCACTAGACGGTGCAAAACTTATTGCTTTTTTTTCCACATTGGTTAGACCAGCCCGTCTTGCTCTTGCCTTGCGTCCAAGACTGATGTAAAGATACGAGGGTCGTCCTTATCCTATACTCCACTACCTGTGAAAGGCACATGGGATAGATTCATCGTTACCGTCGGAAGGCCTCGGCACACACACCTCTGCCCGTTCGCAAGAGTTCTGGCAGTGAGCGCTCACATCTCTTGGTCCCAATTCTTTCCTTTTGTCTAAAGATTGGTCCCGCCTCTCCCCCTCGCTTTGCCAAGGCGACCCAAAATATCAAGAGTCTATAAACCACACACACACACACACACACTGGACGGCGCGAGAACTGCGGTAATGGCTTTCCTTTGCGAGATCTTCCCATCCGCCAAATTTCCCCCAACCCAAGCACCGAGAAAAAACTCCACCCACACACAAGTCCAGTTGGAAGCAACGACGGCGTAGAAAAATAGTGGCCGCTGTTTGTATCATGAGAGAGAAAAAATTCCATTCTCTTCTTACAAGGTCCCCCTGACGCCTCCCTTGGCACCAACCTCCCTTGCCGTGACGGTGACGGCGAGGTCGGCCATGACGTTTATCGTCACCTCGATCTGGCCTCCCTTCTTGACCCCCCGGATGGCCGCCTCGGCCAGGGCGTCGCCCGTCTTCCAGACCTTCTCGCGCTTCTCCTCCTCCTCATCCGACTCCTCGTCCGAGTCGTCGTCCGAGTCCTCGTCCCCGCTCTCCTTGGCGTCCTCGACCTGAACGCCGTTGGGCTTCTTCTCGGCCTGGGGCTTGGGCTCGGGCTTGGTGACCTTGATGTGCGTGTTGCCCTCGACGACGCGCACGAGCACGTCGCCGCCGTCCTTGGGCGAGGCGATGCGCACGGTCCGGCGCGCCGGCACCGCCGTCTCGGGGTTGACGACGGGCGTAAAACCCTCCTCCTCGCCCGACTCGCCCAGCGTCACGACGCCGATGGCGTTGGTAATATGCTTGACCGTGGTCACGGCCGGGTGCGTGCTCTGGTCGATGTCTTCGGCGTCGTACTCCTGGATCAGGCTGGCCTGCAGGGCGGCGCCGCGCGCCTGCAGCTCGCTCGGGTTGATGGCGCTGGGCGTCGTGCTCGGCGCCAGGATGGTGGTGCTCTCGGGGAAGATGCTCGCCAGGTTGGCGGCGATGCGGGGGGTGTGGGCCGTGCCGCCCGACAAGATCACCTCGTCAACGTCGAGCACGTCGAGCCCGGCCTTGGTCACGGCGCCCTCGATTAGCCTGGTGATGCCCTCGAACACGGACCTGCCGATCGTCTCGTAGCGGAGGCGGTTGATGGTCGACGCAAAGTCGAAGCCCTCGGCGAGCGACTCGACGCTGAAGGAGGCGTTTGTGCCCAGGCTCAGGGCCTTCTTGGTGCTCTCCGACTCGAAACGCAGCTTGGCAAGCGACCTGGCGTTGGAGCGCGGGTCGACGCCGGCGTGGCGCTTCATGAACTCCTTGGCGAAGTGGTCCATGAGGACCTTGTCGAGGGCCGCTCCGGCGAACTCGTAGTCGTGGGCCGTGGCCAGGATGGTGTACATGCCGCCGCGCGACGCCAGCACGGCCACGTCGGAGCGCGTGCCGCCCAGGTCCGCCACGACGACGATCTTGTCCGACATTTGGGCCTCGGGGCGGGCATCGTAGGCCAGCACGGCGGCGGTCGGCTCCGAGATGAGCTGCAGAACCTCGATCCCGGCAGCGTTGGCAGCGGCGGTCAGGGCCTCGCGCTGCTTGTCGTTGAAGTTGGTGGGCACCGTAATAACGGCCGAAGTGACTGTCTTGCCTAGGTACTCGGATGCCGAGCCCACGAGCCGCCTGATGTAGCGGGTAGCGACCTCGGACACGGCCAGCGTCGACGGCTCCACCTCGGCACCCTCCTCGGCCACCTTGTCCTTCACCGTGAACGAGACGGACCCGTTCTTGCCCTCGGGGTGTGCAGCGGCGTGGCAGTGGGTAGGGTCGATGGACTTGAATCTGGTGTGGAGGGCATCAGCAAGAGGATTTGATATTGGGTATATATGTCTCCAGGGCGGCATGGAGGCGGGGTGCGGGAGAGAGAGGGCGGGCATAGAACGCACTCTTGGCCGACAAAGTCACGGAAGTAGGCGATGGTGTTTGCGGGGTTGCGGACGAGGAAGTTCTTTGCCTGCAGGCCGTAGTACTCGTCGCCGTCAACATAGGATAGTATCGTGGGAATCTGGCGATCTGTAAAGCACCAGAGCAGGTCGGTCAGCCTCAGCTCCCTGAGACAGTCCTCCCGAGCTGTCAGGGAAGCGCCTGAGCATGTCCTCTAGGCTGGTATAGCCGCTCACCTCCATCCTCGTTGGCAATAACCTCGGGCTTGTCGTCGACGGTAAAGGCAATGGAGCTGTTGGAGTTGCCGATGGTGATGCCAATAGCAACCCTGTCGCCAGGCGCAGTGGCCGTGGCAGCTCCGTTTTCGCTCATTTCGAAGGAGGGGGTGTGTGTGTATTTGCGTGACTAGGGATGGAGTGGCTGCAGGTAAGCCAGGTGTGTGTCGTATCTTGGGGCCTGAACTGCTGCTGTTTGGTGTCGAGACCAAGAGTCTGTCGTGGAAAAAATGTCGGGCAGATCTGGTGCTGCTTTGGCGGGGCTTTTTTTTTGTCGATGGCAAAGCCTCCATGGATTTCTCAAAAATTTCAAGCCAAACCCCCAAAATTCTCAAGCACAGGCCAGACCCCTGTCAAAGACCCACCTTGAGCTGCAGGAGCGTCGACGACGGAACGATTTGATTGATCTGATTCTCGATTTTCTCTGGACCGTCAAGTTGCTTCCTTTCTTCCCAAGGCCGCGCACCGGCCACAGCAAACAACCCCAGAACCACCAACCCCGAAAGAAAAAAAAAACACAAACCGCCATGACCGCCAACACCTCTTCCCCGCGCCCCTTCGTCCTCCCCGGCGAGGCCCTCCCGCCGGCGCAGATCCCGACGCACCCCAAGCGCGCCCTGCGCCTGGGCCCGGGGCTGCGGCACATCCCGCCGTCGTCCATCGTGCCGACGGTGGCCGGGCAAGTCGTGGCCGACGGCAAGAAGACGGCCGTGTGGGTCGAGTACAACGGCGGGCGCTACGTGCCGGCGGCGGGCGACCTGGTGGTGGGCCAGGTGCACCACTCGTCGGCCGACTACCACTTCGTGTCGCTGGCGCCGCACGCGCCCAACGCGCTGCTGCCCATGCTCGCCTTCGAGGGCGCCACGCGCAAGACGAGACCGGTACTGGGCCCGGGTTCGCTAGTCTACGCCCGCGTCGCCATGGCGAGCCGCCACATGGACCCGGAGCTCGAGTGCGTCAGCCAGGCCACGGGCAAGGCCGACGGCCTGGGCCCGCTGCCGTCGCCCTCGGCCGCCGCCGCCGGGGCGCCGCAGCCGCAGCCGCAGCAACAACAACAACAGGCAAGCGGCAACAATGGCGCCTCGGCCCCGGCGGGTGCGGCGGCGGTGTCGGCGACGACGGGGACCGTGTTTAACGTCAGCCTCGGCTTCGCGCGCAGGCTGCTGATGCCGCGCGCCGAGCGCGACGCCGGGCTGGTGGTGCTGGACGCGCTGGCCGACGAGGGCCTGGCGTTCGAGACGGCCGTGGGCCGCAACGGCCGCGTCTGGGTCGCCAGCGACAGCCTGCCCACGCTCGTCCTCGTCGGCCGCACCCTGGCCGAGGTGGACGAGGGCGGGCTCGACGTGGCGGCGCAGAGGAAGCTTGTCAAGAGGCTGATCAAGGAGATGAGCCGAGCGAGAGAGGTCTTCTCTTTCTCTCCCTCATCCACGGCGAAAAAAAAGTCTCCGCCTTCGAGCCGTGGTAGTTGCAACGACGACGACCACGATGACGACGAAACAAGTCTCCTCCCTAATCGCACCTCGGAAGCAAACACCACCTATCTCTCATCGCCATGACCAGCGTGAGTTGAAGAGACTGAAACCACAACAACCACCGACCCAGACACGCCCGCACGCCCGCACACGACGGGTCAAAGCGGCATGTCTTGGCTGCAAAAACAACTAGATACCCGCCTAGAGAGTATGCCGACATGGCAACACACGGCTAGTGTTCCGGCAGAGGCCGCTTGATCATCAACTGCTATCGGTCAAGGCCAGCGACAGTGAACATCCCACGTCGCGTAGACACCGACTTGGCCCCCGCCATGAGGCAAACGCTGAATTTGGTATTGGCTTGTCTACTTGGATGGATTATAACCCGGCATTAATGAATGGCGGTTTCACCTCGTGAGCTGCCCGCCGCCAGCCGCTAAACCGCAATAAATACAAATATACATAATGAATAAGATGGTACAACACCAATGCCATGCGTGCACATGTATCTGATCGCCCGTTGCAGAGAATATCTCCAAATAGGCAAGGAAAACAACCAATCCAAATACCAAGAAAATTATCCCCTAACCGATACTCCAAGTCGCTCTTTTACACTGATGTTTTTTTTCTTCGTTATCAGACACAAGTAACAGAATGTACTGCGTGCCTTGTATATATGCTCATCCGTGATCGTGGCTGATCATAGTGGCCGGGAATGGCTGGCAGCTCACTGGTCCTGTCATGGGACGGAAGCCTCGATCGGTTCGTCGTGCGGCTGGCCAGGGTGCTTCTTGACCATGTGTCGTTTCCAGTTGTCCTTGCGTGGGAACGAGAGCCCGCCGCTCCTGGACCATTGGCAGCCCTCGACGGTGCAGTGGAACTTGCGCTCCTTCTTGTGCCTGTCGTTGATGTGGCGCCTCAGGTGGGTCGTGGTGCCGAAGCTGCCGTCGCAGCCTTCGTAGGTGCACACGTATTTCCTTGTGTGATACCGATCATGGTGACTTTAAGTGGAAACGAACATCCCGTGTTAGTTGAGGAAGGCTCGTTGCAAGCAGGGCGAAGGTGAACTTACTTCAGCTTATGCTGCTGGGTGAAGACCTTGTCGCACTTGGGACACGGGTATGTCTTTTGCGGTGACGCATCTGGAGATTGTTCAAGTTAGTATCTAACACCAGCGTGTCCAAGCGTGGCAAGACTCACCTGAACCCTGGGGTGGGCTGAGGCCGCCGTTAGACGGTGTGCTAGGAGCATAGCTCGAAGCCGGCTCCGTAAGCTGCGTATTCGGCGTGTTCATATTTGAAGGCCCCGAAGAGTAAGAGGCGGGTTGGTGTGGCGTAGAGTTGTCGGAAATGTTGAAAGGCGTGAATGATTGCGCGACGTAGTTGGGATCAGGGTCGGCTTTGATGAACATGGGCGTCTGGGGCGGGTATCCCGGTGGCAGGTTGCCCAGTTGCGAGTTTCCTTGTTGAAATCCAAACTGCATCTGCCCATGGCCATAATAAGCCGGCTGCTGTGCTTGCCCCTGGGTTTGTAGGAGCTGTTGGGCTTGTTGCTGGAATTGTTGCAACTGCTGAGCTTGCAACAGCTGTTGCTGGAGCAGCTGTTGTTGTGCAAGTTCCTGCTGTAATTGCTGTTGTTGCGCAAGCTGTTCCCGTCTCTTCTGCTTCTGCTGTTCATCCTGGTACGCGGCCAACGTCCACTCCTCCTTGGCGTTGGCGTCCAGGTCGCAGAAGCTATCGAACAAAGCGGTGTCTATCTCATCGGCAGCATTTCCGCCCTGCGCATTCGGAGCGAGTGTGAATCCGTCAGCGGATTCAAGAACGACCGGTGGCAGTTGCTGCTGCCGTTGTTGTTGCTGCTGCGGCGGCTGCTCTTGTTGGCCTGCGAAGTTTTCATAAGACTGCGGCGGCGGCGGCGGCGACGTCTGTTCCGGCTTGACCAGCTCGTTCTGCACTTGCCAGTACCGCTCCGAGTCATTGGTGGGCGCCATTATGTCGAGCGGGTTGACCGTTCCGGGCCCGGCGCTCGAAGGGCTCATGCCCACGCGGGCTTTCTCAGACCGGGGGAAGGTCAGGCCCTGAGACGGCGTCCTCGAGTGCCCAGAGGAAGGCGACGCCCCTAAGCTCCGGCCGGGCATAGCGGCCTGCGCAGATGCAAACGGGGCCGTCCCATCCTCGTCCTCCGACATCATCTCGTCCTTAATCAGGGGTGATGTTGTCTGAGATGCTGGGCTCATAGGCGAGATTCCCTGAGACGGCGGTACCAGTTGCTGCTGTTGAGGGAACATGGCAAATTGCTGAAACTGTTGCCCCATATCCTGCGGCCCTATGCCCGGTGCATGATATTCCACCGAGGCGTGCGGTTGGCCTCCGGGGTGGGGCGCGCTCGGGATGTACATGTTGTTGTTCATAGGCGGCGGCGTCGACCACGCAGACGTCGCCGGCGACATGGGGGCGCCCGAGTAGTACGAAGCGGCAGCACCCGTGGCCGGAGGCATGTTGTCGATGGGGGAGATGTAGTAGGGCATTTGTTGGGGCGGCATGAAGGTGGCATCCTGGGGCGGCTGGGGCGGCTGGGGGGAGTGGTGGCCCGGCATCGATCTCGTGCTGGTCCTACGGAACACGGACGTCGCCGACTGGAAGGCCTTGACGATGGAGGACTTGGAGGACGACTGGCGGCGGTGGTGGGCGCTGCCCTGCAGCGGCGTATCGGGAGGGGTGGTGCCCGGCACGACCGTGACGCCGGTGCCCATCGTGTCCATGGTGCCGACGGTGCCCATGGTGGACTGGTGCATCAGTCCCGGCTGCTGCACAAAGGCACCCTGGTGGAACTGGCCGTTGGGCCCGGCGGCGGCGGCGGCGGCGGCGGCGGGCGCCATCATTTGGTTCTGGAAGCCGTACCCGCCGGGTACCCGGGCGCCGGGAGGGCTAAAATCGCTCCCCGGGGTGCCGAACTCCTTGCTGAGCGACGGCTGATGCTGCCTGCTGGTCTGGCGCGTGGCGGCGGGGCCGAAGTCGTCGACGGACAGGCGCTTGCTGCCGGCGGCGGTGGGGCCGGGGGACGACGACGAGGCGTTGCCCGACGCCTGGGCGGCCTCCATCTCGGCCTCGGGGTTGAAGGGATCCCCCCTCGCCGCGTGCCCTCCTCCTGGCGCGCGCGATAAAGGGCCAGACGCATAGGGCAATGATGCTGGCGCCGAGGATGCTGCCGATGACCACGCCGGCGATGGCGCCAGGGGAGAGGGCCGCGGGCTCGGAGCGCTTGAGGAGGGCCGAGGGCGACATTTCGGCGGCCGCGCGCCTGGCGGCGCCAGACAGGAGCGACGGCCGGTTCATGGTGATTGTTGGTGTTGGACTATCGGGCGGTCGGGTCGGACGATTGAGGAGACGGGACTCGGGGTCTGGCGAGAGAGGTTATCGATGCCGAGGCGGACGGGCAGGGGGCCCAAACGACGTGCAGATTGGCGTCGGGCTTGCAGGGCGCGCGGTGCGATGCGGCAAGGTGAGTGTTAGGCGCAGGGGCGCGGGCCGAGTCTGGTGCCCCGACTTGGGTGGGCCAGCATGGGAGGCGTCGCGGTGATTTGACCTGGATGGGCGCGATTGACGGCTGCTGTCGATGGCGGGTGGTGAGGGCGGCCAGGCTGGCGTTGGCAGCAGCCCGGGTTGCTGGTGAGCTGGTGAGGTGAGCAAGATTGAGTGCTGTGGTTGCAATTCCAACGGTGAGCTGGGGCTTCGAACTGTGACTTGGGACTGAGGGATCTCTTGTGTGGGGACTCGAGTGGGCGGAGCTCCTCCCCAGCTGCCAGTTGACAATTCCCCACCCGCTGGCGCGTCCGTTTACCCTGACCGGCGGACAATGCACAGAAGCGACATCGAGCATCTCTATCTCAAAACCCACTGCTGAGCATAAGCCTCCATTTCTCAGCTGCAGCGGCCAGCAGAGTCGCAAGGCAAGACACCACGCCCCATCATGCGCATGTCTTGGAATGAGTGGAACCCGCAGAACGACAGGCAGGGAGGGAGAGGTACCCGGACTGGTGCAGTACCTAGACTAGGACCTAATGTCCTCTACTGGCGATGTGGGTTACAGCAGCATGTCTAGCCGAAAACGCGTTTCGCACCGTCCTCTCAGGCACAACCCATGCAACCTCAACCGCCCAGCCACATGTTGCATTAGACAGCGCAGAAGCCAACCGCCAAACCTCCAACGGACGGGCTGGTAGCCCCGCCCTGGCCTGTGGAGCCGTGTTTGTTGGTTGCCTCTAGGAGGAAACCAGGACGAACCCCTCCCCCATGCCGGCCAAGTCAAGCCCGTCGTCCGTTGCGTGGAACGTTGAACCTTTTTTCGTGTGTTTTTTTTTCTCGTGTGCATCCCGTTGTCGCGGCTAGTAAGCCCAATCGCCATAATGTACATCTGGCAGTTAGTGAGGTTGCAGTTGGTCCACCCTGCACTGCCAACAGTCGCCAGCTCTCGCCCTTTGATTGGGAAAGGAAATAACCGTCAGGCCGGATGCATGCAACACACACACGGGCTTCGCCTTGCTGACCACCATCTTCCTTCTGTCCCTCCCCTCAAGAGACAGCATGCTTTGTAAAATGGAGGTTGCCACCCCTGTTTCATTTGCTGCACCGCCTCCGCGCCCTCGCTCTGGCCTCGGACACATGCAAACACGACTCGACCCCGAAAAGTCCATCAGAATTCGGTCGAGGGCATTTCTAGCACACAACATTGAACGCGCATTCTCCACACCCCGGCGGCTGGGGCAGCTCGCTTGACGGTAAAGTTCTGCGCCTCAGCCTCACCAAGCCGAACAAGCCTAACTCAGCCCAAGTAGTGATCTATTTACGGCCCATTTATGCGTCGACAAGCTCAACAAAGCCTCCGATTGGGTTGCATCGGCCAGAGCTGCTGCTCCTGACCATTGCTTACCCAGAAACTCGGGATTCTCGGCTGGTTATGGATGTGATCTCACTAATCCCTCACCTAGCCAGCCGGCCGGCCAGGCGACGGTCCTAGATGATGGGAAAGGAACAGAGCTGAATAGAAATGTGACTTGATTGTCGTATATATTTATGGATATTCCCCGTCAGTTACTAAAACGTCACCAGGCTAGTCAACCCCTCCGTCAACCAACCGAAGTAAATAAAACACCATATGTGACACCGGCATTGCAAGTGTACAGAATTGGATAACCAGAAAAGGCCGAGCGGGGGATGCTCAAATCAGATGAGTCAGGTAAAGTAGCGAAAAGCAACAACTAGAGACAGAGGCAAGGAAAAAAAACAAGGAATATTCATCAGGAAGGACAAGGCCGTGCGGCATGTTTACAAAGCCTTCTGAATTTCTCTTCTATCGCCCGTAGTTCCCAACCCGTCAGCGGCATGTAGCGTTAAGAACAGATAAGGGAAAAAAAAATAGATGTGATCAAGACGTCTTTAGGTTTCCGTGGACGAGAAATTCATGTCCAAAAAGAACAAAGTAAAACTTTACACAAAGCATGTTAGCGCTTTCCCCCTGCAAAACAAAAAAGAACCAAAGTCAGTAATAAACCCAAGGGTGTATCAACGCTGCGCAATGAATGAATACCACCACCCTGCCACGCGCGCAGTGGTGGTGAATACTGATAACCAAGAAAAAGAAACAGAAAGGAGAAAGGAGAAACAGGTATGGCGATGATGGTGACAATAAAGACTCAATAAGAAAGTGCCGTGAATGCTATAGAAATGCTCAGATGTTTATATCTGCTTGGTGATGGTAGAGTCGTCCCGTCATTCATTGTAGCTTAGATGCCCGGAACAGCGACAGGCTCAGGCTGCTGTCGTTCTCGCCAATGTTGGGCGTCGGCTCGTTAAGGAGTTCCCACCTCCTAGGTGCGAAAGGTCTCCCCTTGAACTGGGTCGGCGGCTGCTGTGGCGGTGGGGGTTGCTGCGGTTGCCGGCCGTCCGGACCGGCTGAGAGCGGCGTGGGAGTTGTCGGCGTCGCTCCCGAGGGCGCCGTCACCTGGGGCTGGTGCTGCTGGCCGGCGCCCGCCCCAGTGACAAGGGAAACCGGGACAAGAAAGTGCCTATCGGCCGGGTCTGCCGTCCAGCTGGTCAAGTATCTCAGGCGCGCGTCCGACGTGTGCTCCCGCAGCGCCCGCGCCACACTGGCACGGACTTCCTCGGGCAGGTTGTCCACCAATACCAGCGCCAAGTCTAGAACACGTTGCGAGAGCGGTACCGTCGCTTCCGCTGCGGGTGTGGCTTGATGGTCCGCGGCTCCCGCGGAGGACTGTGGAGGTGCTTTGGGGTGGGCGTCATCGTAACCAGGCCCTTCCCCGTTGCCAAGCTCGATGGCGATCCCGGAGAGCACTATGATGGCTCTGGCCCGCAAATCAACACTGGCCTTGAGTGGATCCAGCGTCGCCGTGTGCAGCGTCATAAATGTCAGAAGTTGAGGGAGCCAATGCCTCCGGATGGCGTCGCATGTCGCTATGGCCGCGGCAGTCTCGTCCTCGTCCTCGGCCGAGTCAAACTCTAGCTCGGCTGCACGGCTCCGAGCGGCAGTCGTCGCCAGTATCTCCCACAGGTCCGTCAGCTTGTCGACCATGGAAGAGGCGAGCGGTGGCGACTTGCCCGTGGACCCGCCCCGGATGATAATGTCGATCACGGACACCAAGCTCTCAGCCATCTGGACTCTATCGGCGATTTCAACATCCGAGAGGTGCGGCAGCCTGCCGGGCGATGGAAGGAGTTCTAGGAACCGGGCCTGCGCCTTTTGTCTCAGGTGCTGTGTGATCTCAGGATTGAGGCAGCTTAGCATCCCAGTCCACGTGATGTTTCGCGCGTCTATCGCCTTGTCCATCGCGCGCGCGAAAAGATCGAGCTGCGAGTGCAGCCGCTGGATTGGATCCCCCGCGCCCGCTGCACTAGTTATCGCTCCCTCTGATGCAAGGCTTGCCATGAGTTTGAGCTGGCAAAATGGCAGCGTCAGCTCGTTGCAGAGCTCTAGCACTTGATCGAACGACAGTCTCTGGTCCTCTTCGATTCCCGGCATTAGGATAATCTCCATGTCCCTCTCAATGATACGGGACACGCCTGCATCGGTATGCTTGGCGGCCAGGACGCGAGCCACCGTGTTGAAATCGTTCAGGACTAGCTCCATCAGCGCGAATCGTAGAGCGACACGGAGCTTGTCGCTGGCTAGAGGTAAGCCGGCCTTGCCCATGGCCGAGGATGTGGCGTACTCGGTAGCAGCCAGGCGGATGAGCGTCAGGAGTTCGTTGGGGTTCGTCCTTATCACGGTTCTCTGCAGGGTGTGGAATCGATAGCGCTCGTCTGTCGACATCTGTACGTGGGATCTGTCGGTGAGGGGCCGCAAAACCAGCTGCAGGATCTCCTGATTAACAGTAGACCCGGCTGGGGGGTTGATAGGGGGCGCGGGCTGGGCCGGAGTCTTGGTGGCAGCCGAAACCGAGAGCATTTCGCCATAGAGGGCTGACAAGACTAGAGAAAACGGCAGGCACCCGAGGCTGACCATGGGCGGGTACACTAGCAGAGGGTTCAACCTGTTGGGCCGTCTGCTCTGCGCCCGGATCCACATCGCCATCAAGTAATCGAACTGCTTGGGATCGAGTACGCGGAGACGGACGAGGAGACCGATCGGGTATCGGAGTCGTTCCTCATCCTTGTCGCCGAACTGATGCAAGAGCCCGACAAGATGCTCGAATAGCCTTTCCAACGTGGGCTTGTCGATGCTGGTCCCGCTGGCCAGGAGCTTCTCTATCGCCCCTTCCTCCTGCAACTCGGCCTCGGGGTTGTTGTCTGAGACGGGGGAGCAGGCATCGATCTCGGAGGTCCTGTCGTATCTGTTAAGATCGCGAGACAGCCTTGCTGCTAGGTCATTCCTCCCTGGCATCCTGCCAGCCAGAGCAGCCAGGGATGCCAATAACCTCCGCACCCCAGACCCGTGCTCCTCGGCAACAATGGGGCCGAGCCTGGCCAGCAGGGTCTCAAACAGGGGTTTGAGAACACCAGTCGCGTTGAAAACCGGGTAGTGAAGCATCAAGGTATCACTGCAGGACGCCAGGATGTCCGCCGACGGCGCGACCGAAAGTGCCCTGAGAAGATCTCCTAGCATTGTAAAATCCTGACATGCCTCCAGTATCCGGCGGCAGCTGCAGAAGAATGCATCCGAGGGGAGGCCCACGGCGCCCTTGAGGTGCTGTTGTTGCTGTTGGAGTTGCTGCTGCTTCAAGACCTCCAGAAAAGTGGTTCGAAGCCAGAACGCAACCTGCAGCTTGACGCTGCAAACAGTCTTGGCCAGGCGCTTGGTGTAGTTGTTTAACGACATGGGCGGCGGCCCGGAAGAGCGGCGAGCGTAGTAACCCGGGCCCGGCTGCATCCCGAGGATGTGTTTCATGACCTCGATGGCATTCTCGAGCTCGAGGCTCTGATCCTTGACCGGATATGAGGCGCGCCGTAGCATGCTGGCGCGGAGACTCCTCAGGGACTCGTTCATTATACTGTCGGGAAGCTCCACGAGGAGGCGCGTGATGCAGGGCCCGTCCATCTCGACATCGCTCGGCTTCGATAGGCCACCTCGGGCAATGAGCCACTGCACATAGCGATGAGTTGAGAACAGGTCGGCCCTGGCCAGCTCGGTGACCAGCCGGAATACAAGGTCCTTGCGCTCTGCTTCGGAAATCGAAGTCGTGCTGAGGAACTGCAGTATCGTGTCGGTAATGTCCAGGCCCAGGCCGGCCCAGGACTTGAGCAGGCCGACAGCGATGTACATCTTGGCCAGGCCGGGGCGCTGTAGTGAGGTGCACCACTCTAGTAATATCCTTGCGACGGCCGCCCTGTCCTTGGTTACGGCCAGGCATTGGTTCGAGAGATCTTTGGGTATCGGCGAGTGGAGAGTAGCGTCGAGTATCCTCACGAGCACAGCTCGCGCGGCTGGCTGTGAGCGAACGCAGTTGCTGGCCAGCTGCTCGTTGCGCGAGTCGACGGCAGTGAAGGCGGCCTGCAAACTGGTGTCTGCAGTAGGCAGGCTCTCCTGAATGAGGCTCCGGTGTTTTAGCCAAGTTCTAGGGCACACGAAACTCTCAGGCGCAAGTGCCAGGAGCCTGCACACCGACCACCTCAACTGCCCGATTATAGGTTGTAAGATGTCGCTGTCTGTATGACCTTGTGTGTTGGATAGGTGGTTGAGGATGGCGCCGACTAGTCGGCGACCGTGTTTCCTGAGATGAAGAATATCCCTCCAGTGGATTTGGGTAAGGATCATCCACAGGGGAAGTTTGCCAAGGTGGGTGTTTTCGAGGCCAGATACGAGCCATTCGGAGTAGTGGTCCTTGTCCAAGAGCTCTGCAAAGGACAGGTGTCGTGCGAGGCGCATTCTGTGCAAGAGTATGGCAAGGTTAGTGTGTTTGCTTTGTCGTGAGAATAGAATCCGGATTGGGAACCCACGCATAGTCGACCCTCCACTTCCAATCCTCCGACTTGATGGCCGTAATGGTGCCCTCTACAAACTGCTCGACGCAGACGGTCCAGTCGCGAGTCCATTTTGCCTCGCCTCCCATGGCGAGGGCAGGCGCGCTCTGGCCGGTGCCTTTCCTCCTGACGGCGCGGATCTCATTGGCGCCCACACACTTGGCCAGCCAGACGGCACGCTCAATAGGCACCTTTTTATTGAGGCACTGGTCCAGGAGGACACGACCTCTGATGCCGTGGGGTATGGTGCGGCTCAGTCGGCGAAGGGTAATGGCCGGGTTAGCCAGGTCCTTCACCCAGACCTCCCGTTTGGTGTCGGTTAGAGTCACGCGCGGCGGCGGCTTGAAGCTCGAAAGCGAGCTCACCAACCCGAGGGTGCGCCGGTGCCTCAGCACCTCGGTGTAGACTACCGACAGTCCTTGCAGGCGGGTGGTCTGCTTCAGGGTCTGGAAGACGAGTGCCTTGGCGGACGAGGTCTCTGGGGTTGAAGGAGCCTTGTCGAAATAGCCTTCCTTGATTACGGTTGCCGAGAATTGGTCCTCGGGATGATCGCCCAACCAAGGGAAGAAATCGGCGCTGGCGCCGGCGGCGAGGGCAGAAGCCCCGGCAGATCCGGTCGAGACAGCACGCGCGGGCGCCCCTGCGGCCTTGGCGGGCGTTGTCGACCCCGACGCATCTGACGGCCCTCGGGCGTAGTATCGTGGAGCGACGGCGGGCACCTCGAAGGTCCAGGGCTTCGGGCGCGTATCCTTCTTGACGGGGGGCGTGGGCGCAGGGGCGGATTTTTGTCTGCGGTCGGGGACGGAGAAGCGCGGACGGCGGCGCGGCATGGGGTATGCCGCATGCGGCATGTCGTAGGGCGGTATATCGAGCATGGACATGCCAGCAGACAAGCCGCGGGCGGAAGACGGGTGGGGGCTCAGGCCAGCAGCGGCCATATCGGGGCCGCCGTCGGCCATGGCCATGATTCGCGAGGGTGTGAAAGGTTTTGAGTGGTCGATGGCGTTTGGGGAGTCGCTGAGGGCGACATGTGAGATGGGGAGGTCATTGGATAGCTCTTGCTTAAGGCGCGAGCCGCCCCTCCGTAAAGTGCCATTGCGAGGCTGAGGGGTGCCGGTGGTATCGGCGATATCGTGCGGTAGGTACGACTGGCTCAGAGTGCGCTGGGTCGGCGGCGGGGCGGGCAGGCGCTGCTGGGGGCCGCTGAGGGAGCGCTGGGGCTGTCGCGGCGGGACGCCCAAGGGCGGCCGGGAGGTCATCGCGGGCGACAGGGCTCAGGGCCATTTCATCAAAGGGTGATGGGCGACATGGTGACGGGATGGGGGTGTTGTCGCGGGCGATGGATGGGACGGTTAGACGTCGTCGACGTGGCTCGAAGCGCGCAAGGCGGGCGAGGACGGCGAGGACGGCGAGGATGGCGACGGCGGCATCGGTCGGGGGGCAATGCCGAGAGATGAGGCACGCGATGGGTCGGAAGGTCGATATCCTAGTCGTCGAAGTCACAGGCAAAGATGGGAAGTTCGCTGCGGCTGACTACCGAGACGCTGCGGATTGCGGATAACCAGGCTCGTGCTTCCCGAGTTGGTTGGGTAGGGGCTGGAAGCACGGTCAGTCGGGCCCAGCCTGTTTGGTTGGGTGGAGTCGCTATCTGGGGCGGGTGGAGTGCGACTGGATAGCACAGATGAGGGAAAAAATTAGAAGGCCAGATAAAACATGGGGCTAGCAGGAAACACGGAAGCTGGACACTGCAGGCAAAGACATAGAGAGCGAGCACAGAGCGGGTGCTGGAAACCAAGCTGGGAACCGATCTGGGCAGCCGCCGGCGCTGCAACTACACGACAAGCTTGCACGAGCCGGACAAGCCGAAGCAAGCGACGTTGCCCAACGGAACAGGCGGAGACGCGAGCGGAAGTGGATGGTGGCGTTCTTTCCGGGACGCCGCACGACTTGCGCCGTTGGGTTCAAAATGGGTTCAAGAGGGATCGAGGTCCCAGCTTGGCTCTTTGGATTGAGAGGCGCAATCCAGGGTCCGAGTCCACTCCACACTCCTAGTTCGGGTCGATCTGTAAACCTCTGCCAGCACTTGACTGGCCTGCGCTAGACTACCCGATGCCCGAACATGAAGCCAGCAGTTGCTGGGGGGGGTGGGGCTGGCTGAGGGTGGTGTGGGCGGGAAGCAAACAACTACAAGAAAGTGTGTCTGTCTGGTGGTGGTGGTGGAACGTGCGCGGCCTTTTGTATTATTGTTTTTTTATTATCTTATTTTACTTTTTTACCTTTTGCACTTCGGCAACAACGGGAAAGTGCCGCCGTGGACCCCCTGGACCATCTTTGTCTCTGCCCTGGTGCTGCGGATTTCAGACTTCCATGGAACATCCGTTGGCACATGACACTCCATACTGCCGCCTCGCTGCCGAGCACATCACCAATCGCTGCTGGCACCTCATCCCATTCCCCGCGGCCCTCCGAAACGGGCTCGCTCCTGGCCGGCGCACTGTAGCTTTGACGAGCCGTCAACGTGGACGCGAACCCGAGTACTAATGTCCCGGCGACACCCCTGAATGGCATTGTTGCAGCAAAGCCACTATCGCACTCCCGTCAACGACATTCTGGCTCAATAACGGCACTCTGGCGGATGATAACCTAAGATATGGTACACACGCACGCCCGAATAATAAAAAAACGTGACACTTTTCAATTGGTGGTGGTATGCACTGGGGCAAAAATTGAAAAGTGTCTCGTTTTTTTTTATTCGGGCGTGACACGTCCATAACCAGACCAGAGGGACGTTGACAAAATCAATCGACATATCACCCCCAGATGGATAACGTGCACAAGGCTTGGTCAGCGTGCCGCCAAGAAAGGTTCAACGGGCACGATATTACAAACCCCGAGTGCCCAACGCAATAAAATAGAAATAAATAGAGATAAAAAAAAACTTATCCATCACCACTCCATCCCCAAGTTCCCGCCTCCTTCCAAGAGCATGACAGAAATTCCCGCTTCCCTTAGATCCACTCCCCCTCTCCCTACCGACTCCCCAGAGTGATAGCGATGCGACGCCCTCGCATGACTGCCACCCTGTTTTCTATTTATTGACTGGTGTCGGCGATTGCTTCCAGCTCAAAGTGCTTGCGCATACATCCCTAGGTAGGCATTAAGCATGCGTCGATGCGGCCTGGCAGTCACTGTGGGGGACTTGCAACCTAGTCCTGAAGATGCCTTGGCCCTACATACAAGACCCAGCGGTGTACGGAGCAGGCGGCATGCATGCACTGCTGCTGGCGGGGGGCCAAGGCCCTTGTTAGGTCGACCTGGTTCGCATGCAGCTCGAGCACAGCAACTAACCACAGCCAGAGGTCAGCACTGCCAGCCCTGTCGGAGCGAGATGCCAAGCAAAGAAGAAGAAGAGGAAGAAAAAATGGCACCCCATCCCACATCCCATACGGAGTAGGTTCTGCAGGCTTGATACTACTGCCTAATTGGGAATACCGTGCAAACGAGACAGTAGACAACTCAAAAGGGTAAAAACGTTCCCTTGGCACTTTGCGCGCGGGGGAAGGAGGGATCCCACGCGCATGGACCCAGCCAACGGGCAATTCGGACCATCGCTGGGTAAAGTCCCGCCTTCTCCGGCCCTCGCCTTACTTGGGGCGTATCTTTTGTCCTACCGCTTTATCCGAAGCAAACCCTCCGGACAAAGCCCGCGCTTCATGGCGCTGCAGGGCGCTCGGGTCCCATCTGACAGGTCCCATCGATGCAGAGTCCCTATCGCTTGCTGTGATCCGAGGCAGCCGTGACAGCCGGTGACATCGCCATGCGGTCGAGACTTTTCCTCCCGGGAAAAGGGGGTGGAATGGAACATGTGTTGTGTTTCCCCGGTATGCGTCCAAGAGGCTCCATTGGGCTGGCAGTGGTCCTACTTCCGCTGAGTACACGGTAGTAATCAATATTTGCCCCCAGTCTTCGCCACTTGCTTTTGATCCCAGGAGCCCAACTCCAGTAGCGCGTATGGCTGTCACTCCGACCATCCCGAGTCTCCGCGACTTTCCTTTCATTTGTGATATTTTCTTTTCGTCCCTAGTTTTATTCTTTATTTGTATGCGACAACCCAGGCAGTGATCTCTCACTCGAGCTATTACAGCTGCGGATTGTGATTCTAGGATCAGGTACAAGCCTCAAAATATCTCGTTAGTGGTATGATCGTGCGCTAGCCGACACAACAGAGGCCAACAGCCTCGGCAGGATTGGACGCCCTCTTGGTACAGCATCGGGCTCGCTGCCAAGGTGCAGGCGATGATCCACGCAGTCAGCAACATAGATTGAGGACCGCCCCATCCGCATAAGCAGACCTTCAAATCACATGTCTGCCAGTAGTACAATAATCTTGTTCTCTCGAAGGCCACCCCCATGCGGCCAGAATCCTGGCTCTCTTCTCGCCCACATACCCGTCTTGGAGGAGTCCACAGCCCCATGTCCGTGATTGAAACTTTGGCGGCGTTACTCAAAAGCACTTGGGCCTTTTGTAAATAGGCCATGGTGCTTGTCTATTCGGTACTTCTGGGTGTCACGGGCTTAAATCGTCCCCTCAGCACGCGCGTAGTTGGGAGACATCACTCTGCTGAACTTAACACTCTAATAAAGCATAGCATATACTCCATTTGGATAGTCTGCAGCGATCAACTCTGGTCGTGATGCTTATACGTACTCCCGCCTCACCCCAGCTCTGCCTGGGCTGTATGTAGTATGTACTCTCCAACAACATTTCTTATGCCACCTCGCCGCCGCGGTGTTCGGAGGTGGACCTTCTCTGGTAAAGCTGTGTACTAAATCGACCTTCTCAGGGGGTTAGGTCGCGTTTGAGACGGGTGGTTGGTGACTTGATGTCGCTGGGTGTAGTATCTCGACCGCAGTGATAATATACCTGATGCCCGAAAGCTGATTCAATGTTTGTGTTCATCAGCTTTTGGCCAAAATTGGACATGGCGACGAAGGTCGATGATAAGGTGTTGTGTAATTGGCTAGGACATGGAGGACGACCCGCAGCTGGAATGCATAATCTGCCCCACACACTAAATCCGGCTCTCCACGCCAGCTGTTCCGTTGCTTTGGCTTGTGGAGAAGGGTTTGGCTCGGCCAGATATCGACCTGGCCGGATGCCGCAGGCTTGATCAACCACCACGCGACGCCCCGATTCACCCCTCCGTCTGCGCAATCACCACAGATATATCCAGCCATGTCGTCAGTAAAGAAGGAGATGCGCCGGCCCGACCTGAGTACGAACTGCACCAGTCACGTCCCTCCACACCACAGTCCCTGCCGGCGGCCGCAGTGCGCCAGCGCATTGGCTGGTGGCGCCGTGTAGACTGCTTTCGCGCCGCCAGTCCATACCAGACACCAGCTAATACCTCGCGGCTTGACAGTCATCCCGTATCAGGTCCCGGCCCCCAAGGCGGACGGCGCCGACCTCCAGTCCACCCTGGCGTCGACGCTGCCCATGGCGGCAATGTTCCTGCGCAACCGCTTCATCGGATGGTGAGCCTCCCTCCCGAGAAGCATCTCCTCCGAGAGCGCCCGCGCCGAGTTGCTATATCCCCCCCTCGCGCTCGCGCTCTCGACTACCGGCCTTCCCCTCCACACGCGCCGCGCGGCGGGAATTGGGTCTTGTCCACCCTCACATCCCCACTGGCTGCGGCGCGCTCTGCCTGCGCCGCATCATCCCGGTGACGGCGGGGGGGTTCGTGTGGAGGGGCAAGATGCTACACGTGTCAGGATAGCATACATAACAGGACAACGGACGGTGAACATCAGGTGTACGTTTGCTGACAAAATCGGCTGGGTCGCAGGGCGGCTCTCGTGTTCAGCTTGCAGAGCTGGCTGGGCGAGAGCGAAGACGCCAGGAACTCGGCGGCCACGCCGGGATACTTCAACGTCGGAATGGGTTGTAAGTTTGTCCAACGGAAGCAGGCAGGCGATGAGGACGACGAGCTGACATTTAGCCCGCAAAACCACAGTCATCTCACTGGTCACATGCTATCTGCCCCTGTTCCTGCCGCAGCAGCCCGGCTTCAACCGCGCCGCCACTGGGACCGAGGCGCCGGCGCCGGTCCCTCCTGCATAGTCCAAAGTGGCTAGGAGTGGTTTCTCGGAGAGGGAGGGTGCTTTTGGTTGTTTGAGTAGTGGGAATGTTTCCGGATATTTGTTAATCGTCTTAACTTGCAAGGTAATCGTTTGTTGTTTGGCGTGACACGGGGGACGAGGAACATAGAACAGAGAAGCGGGCACGCGTGGCTCGATTCAGGGGCCGGCCAACGACCAGATGAACATTCCCGACCGTTGCCAAGCGAGTTGCGAGTGGCCCGATAGCGCGGAGAGCCCTGATCTATATCATGTTCCCTCCAAAACAATGCTCGATGGAACAGATGTCGGATGGCGAGCAGAGGGCTGCCAAGGACTATCTAGTAGACGCCTGGAGAGGGGGATGTGGCGCATTGCCAACAGCCTCGCATTCCCAGGACTTGTGCAAGTCGTTGGAACATTGGAAGACTGGAGGATTGGCAAATGTGCCAAGTGGAGGTTGGCGCCCTTGGCCCGGGCCATGAGTTTGACGAGTGCTGGGCCAAGAAGTGCTGGGCTAAGATTCCACCGGTGGCGGCGGCGTCGTCAGCGTTCCTCATCGAGAATGCAAATGTCAAATTTCGCATGTTTGTTTCTGCGATTACAAAGCCAGAATAACATGAAGGATGGCCGCAAGGTTCCATGGTTGTTTCCCCTTCCGCTGCTATTCTCGACGCGGCCAAGGATCGCATGTCGATGGGTCGAGGTGCCAGACGGTGCGACGTCCAGTGTGGCCATCAATCGCTCCGACGCCTCTCGGCCGTTTGAAGAAGGCTTTTGGGCCCCAGCCATGGGCGCACGCCATTGGCCTTCAGTCGCAACTAGCCACAGCAGCCACAGGCGCCACAGCAATCCCACTAGAACGGCTCTAGGCAATGAACCGCCGTTTCGTCAGCTTCCTGAAACCCAGCTGGCCCGACCAGGTGTGGCCCACCCCTGCCCCTTGGCTCGAGCCCTGACGGATTCTGTTACAGGATCCGCCTTCAATCGTACCATTTTCCACTTGCCGCCCTCCCTCTGCCCTGTCCGCTCCCATCGCCTCCCTCCCAATTAATCCTTTTCGCACTTCGCGACCGCGCCTCCAATTTTCCCCCCTTCTCTCGTGATCGCCTTTCGTTTCTTTCCCACCACTAATATTCTCGTCCTACGACAACCTCACGTCCTTCCTTCTCCCAATATCAAGTTTCATTACATTTCGTCCGGCCGGTCCCTCTCCTTCCCTTCCCTCCTGGTCGAGTTCCGTAATCAGCTGGACTGAAAGTCAAAAGACACCCCCACGATCGTTCCCGAAGTCCGAAGAACCAGAACATAGCCTCGTAATCGGAACCCGCGCCACCTTGGTCAGCTCCTCGACTCCGACGACCTTGCTTTCTCAGCTGCAAAGCGCCATCGCAGGTCGAACCTCTAAACGTCAACCCCGACGCGCTCCGTCGACGCCGACTCTTCCCACCGAACAGGGACAGCGTATACGGGGCTCTGCAGGAGAAAGAATTAGATACAATGAAGGCCGTCGCCGTCGCCATCGCCACCCTCTGCGCCTCGATGGCTAGCGCATGGGTCGTCATCACTCCCGTCACACCCGAGATGGTCGTCCCCAAACAGGGCAACGACTGCTTTTGGGGTGTCACGACACCGCAAGGTTGCGCGTATGTTGCCCCCTTCGTCCTCCAGCGCTCGGACAGGACTGGCTGGTGATGACGCTTGATCGAACGCTGACATGCTTTGCTCTCGGAAATCTAGTCCTTTCGTCCGTGCGCCGAAGAAATGATGCTCCCCACCGCCAGCGACAGTTGAACGAAAGTCGCCAATCGGGCTTTGTGTTTAGAAAGAGGAGAGCATGAGAACGAAATTCTTAATAGCGAGGATACCCACGGAACGGAGAGGAGCAGACTCGATGCCGTCGCTCCCTAGCCCCATCTGCCGCACACCGCCTCCCCACGCCCTACGTGGGGGCTTTCGACAAGGACAGCAGCAGCCCCGACAGGCGGACGGCGGTTGGCGGGAGAGGAGCGAACAGCAAGAGATCTAGAAGCAGCATTTTTCTTGAAGCGTGTTATTTGCATATTATGCGGGCTGGCTATTTTCACAACATCTTTGGCAATTTCAATCGGCTACGGCTCAGGGAAGTCAGTGGCTTCCATGGAGACGGTCAGGGGAGGAGAGCGAAATCAGACTTGTTATTTCAAGTTCAATTCTGTGCACATTTTAAACCGTTTCTTTTCTTTCTCTTGATCACAGGCAGGTATAGACATTGGGGGTTTTTGGCTTTCTATTTCGTAATGGTGTGATTTGCTCGTTCAGCTTGGACCTGTATCTCGTTACCATAACCACCATCTTAATCTCGAACCGACGAACTCTACCTGTTTTTCCAGCAGCCAGCAAGTTGTCAAGGCCCGCGCCAGCCAACCGCTCGGGTTTCGGTGTGGCGCTCATTCCCGCCAGTCATTCCAGGTCGACAGGCGCCACGGCCTGGTGTAGTGTGTTTGGGGCTAGGGGGCCAACTGGTGGGGGGTCGTACGAGCCTCCAAACGTTGATGGCGCCACGCCAACCAGCGTAAACGCCAGCACGTACGTTTGTCGACCCGATGGGTAGCGTCCCCATTCGTGAGGGATGGGGAAGCCAGTCGCATTAACAAGAGAGCTCGTGAGACGATCAAGCCCCTGACTAGCTGCTTGGAGGTATCTATGGGTCTACTCTCGTGGGTTTTCTCTGAATTCTAGACTGCCGTCTAAGTGGCCCGAATGTGACAAGGCGAAGCGCTTGGGAAAGAGAGGATTTTGGGGAATAGCACTGATTGTTGTTGCTCCCGGAAATTACGGCATGAACAGGAGAAAACAAAAAAAGCTATGCCAAGTGGTCGAGTGCCATGGACCTCCGACTAACAAAAAAAACATTATCATAAAGCGCCCATAACGATCTGGGCCACAACCGCCGCAACCGCGCCGCCAACCCACAGCGCCCGCGGGGGCGCCGCCCTGCTACCCGCCGCGTTCTTCTTGCCGCCGCCCCCCTCGCCCGCGGACCCGACGCCCTGGCCCTGGCCGCACTCGCCGGCCATGCCGTCGAGGCCGGCGGCGTCGGCGGCGATGGCGCGGGCGCCCCCGTCGCCGCAGCTCGCGTACTGGGCCAGGTACATGCTGTTGGACGTCTGGTCAAAGGTGATGGAGGCGGCGCGCATGAAGCTGTCGCCCAGCAGGGCCGTGACGCCGCTGCCGCTCTTGATGGGCACGGCGCCCAGCGCGCACTCGCCGCCGGCCTGCCACACGAACTCGCTGTACGGGACCGAGATCTTTGCCAACGACCCGCCAGTGGTGCTGCTGCTGCCGTTGCCAAACGTAAAGTCAAAGGAGCCGCCCGACGACAGGATGCTGCACGGCACGATGTAGACCCCGGCCTGGCTGTCCCACTGTGCGCCCGTGTCGCTCGCCATCTGGTCGACGACCCCCTGCGGCAGGGAGCTGAGGGACGAGCCCGAGTCGATGACGATGGGCATGCTGCTGCCGCTGTACGTCTTGCCGGCGTGCGAGATGCCCTCCATCTGGACCCAGTAGCGGCGGATCGTCTCCTTGCCCTGCGGGCCCAGGATGGGCACCCGGGCGAGCCTGCCCGAGAAGCGTTTGGCGTCGACGCCGCCGAAGATGATGGCGCCGCCGTTGCTGGCGTCGGCCGAGCCCAGGGCGATGGTGAAGGCGCGCGACTTTGTGACGTTTTGCGTAAATAGCGTGTCGACGAAGTTGTTGTACTGCAGGTTCACGCCCTTGCCGAAGCCCAGGCCCATGATGCCCTCGGGCAGCTGGGAGCTCTTGAGGGCGGCGCCGAAGACGACCTTGGTCATCGAGATGGCTGTGTGTCCGGGGATGGGTTAGGTTCTTTTTTCCTTTTTTTTTTTTCCTTCTCCGAGCTCTGTCTATGGAGAGCTGCGTGGAGGCGGTTGGACTCACAGCTGTCTGGGACGGATATCGAGTCCTGGATATACTGGATTGTGACCTCTCCTTTGCCATATGGGATGTGGTTGGTCGTATCTGACACCTTGGATGTGCTGCTCGAACTTGGCTGGTATTGGCCATTGGCCTGACACTCGGACCTCTGCGAGCTGACCTGGACAGTAGAGCACTGAGGGTTGACCCAGAGCTCGTCGGAGCCTGTGTCGATGGCCACCTTTGTCTGCTGACCAGGCGTGCCGATGCTTACTGACAGACCGCATTTGCATTAGAAACCAGCAAAAGACAACAGGGCCTGGCAGCCGCCATTACTAGGCGCTGGGGCTGGGGGTGGAGGGTAAGAGCTCACAAGAGATGAGGTAGCTGAGAACCGAGATGTTGTACAGCGGAACCTCGGTGTCCTGCCTTCTCAGAAGCGGCACCAGGGACCTCTTGTGCTCGATGGGGAAGGACACAAAGCCCTGCGAGCCGCCGTCTGTGGGAGGCAGGGCCGTCGCCCCGACATAGGTAAGGAGACCTAGTGATAGTAAAAGTCTCGACGCCATGATTGTTATCCCGAGCGCCAGAGCCACCAGTTCGCTTGCTCTCCGTATGATCAAGGCCCCGTGGTGGAGCGTGTGTGAAGACGGCCGCCCTGCGGACCGGGATAGATGCGTCACGTTGGAAGTTGAGCAAGTGAAGTCGATATTTGCTTGGCGGATGCGCCCTCTACCAAGCCGCGGCAAACGTGTACTTGTATGGCTGCAGGGATCTGCAGGGCTGCTGCCAAGATGGATGGGATCGCGACTCGGGGTCAGAGCCAAGATTCAGATGGGCTGAAAGGCGTGGGGGTGGTGGGTTTTCCGTGGTGATTAAGTAGCCCTGTAAGAAAAGACAAGTCCGGCGAAAGGAGCAAGGCAGCGTTCCCGACCTGCAGGCTATCGGTGGTTTTCAAAAAGACACACGTATCGGGAAAGGATCCGCCTGAAGGGGAGCCACTAGGCCGGCGCAGCAGGTCGTTCGTGGCAATGAAGGAGGAAACGCCCGGGATGGACTGGGCTAGCGCCGGGCGCTTATGGCGATGGGCAGAGAGAGTCGTGCGAATGCAGGAGGCACGGCGAAACGGGGGGTACAGCATGACACAAAAGACGCCCACCGCTTGGTTGGGTGTGGGAATCACGAACGGCCTCGGCCATATCCGACACAGGGAAGGGCTGTCTAGCCTGTCCAGCCCAGTTGGGCAGGTTGCCTCCCAGCTCCCCGCTCGTCCATCACACCCGGGGACCTGGGCCATCGGGCTGTACCCGTGGGCGTGGTTGGCCGGGCATGGCTGGGTTGGCTGTAGGCACGCTGATGTGGTCAAGCGTGAGTTGTCTGGACTCGGGGCGGCTCATCCAGCTGTCTGCCATGGCCCCATGCCCTCACCGTTTCCTGGCTCGTACCGCTAGATGGACGCTTGCAGGGGCTCTCCTGGATCGGCGGGTCCACTGATGCGATCGTTTCCAGCAAGACTCGGGGCGTAAACACAAAGTTGCAAGTGAGTCTTGGAGGCAGTGATCGGTGGAAGCAAACGGAGGAACGGGGCAGGCTGCTGGGCAAACAAAGACAAAGGAAAAAAAAAAAAAATTATCCTTACTGTTGGCTAGCTAACCCTAAAGGACTCGACCTGCAAATGTCGAAGCGAGCTGCATGAAGCTTCTTTCGGGAAGTGGGAGCCGGAAAAGGGTGGCTGTGACGCTGACGAAATCCAGCTAACCAAACCTGGGCTGGCTGGGTTACAGAAGGATCTCCAAAACAAGCTTTTTTTCGCCCGCTAGCGGGGCCGCATGGTGGATGGGCGGGGCCGAACGCGCGTCTGTTGGACCTAAAAAGTGCTAAAGTGGAAAGGGCCTCATATCGCCTCGTCGCACTTGCCCTCCAGCTGAGCGGAAATACTGCGCGGGCGAGGGGCTCAGCCCCAACTTCTTATCAATAGCCACCTCCCTGCCAGTATAGGTGGCATCCTGCAACACATTGTGCCTCGAACGAGCTGCGGCATGGACGGATTCCCGTGCATATCGACCCGCAAGACGCCAAATTCCAGCTCCTTTAGGCTAGGTCCAAGAGAAAGATACACCTGATAGCCGCCTTTAGGGTTGCGTCACCCCTCGGTGGCTGGTCTGAGGCGGCCTCGAACTTTGACCGTCTGGGTCAGCACCGGTCCTTTTCCTCTTCCCAACGGCTCCTTAGCTGAGCTACCATGATCCTAGCCTCACGGACCTTGTAGCCAGGGCTCCTCGGCTTGTGAGCGGCTGCTTTTTGAGCGCAGAATACGGCACAAGTCACGCCGCGACGGGAAGGAAGAGCGGTCGACTACAGCATTGCATTTCATTTCTACTCGATAAACGGATCGATGTTTACCTGGGCAACAAGTGGTTGGCACTACTCGGTCTTGTCTTCTACCCTGGCTTTCACGCCTAATGACCAAGTGCAAATTGGAATTGAAATGGGACCAACGACCGCTGATTGGGACAGACGACGGAAATGCTCAGCAAAAGTGTGGGCGTACCCACCCACACGCTACCAATATAAAGCCAAACTAACGGGAACCTCCAACGCGAAACTCGCTTACCAGGTTATGAGCATTCAAGCCCGGTTACTCTAGTGGCAGAGAGAGCCAAAGGATAAGATGGGGTTTCCCCGAGAAACATCCGAAGAGCCTGGGATCGAATCCCACTGTGACCCAGCTGCCAGAATTTATTCAAGACCGGTCTGTCGTGGGCCGCCTTCCTCAAGTACAAATGAGAGAAAGGAAGTTGTTAGGCATTACCACGCAGACCAACATCAGAAGATTAAAAGTCTCATTTAAAGACCTAAGCTTAGGTGCGAGAAAGATTTTTTATGCTGGTAAACATTATTAATTTCCCCTGAGGGGAGAAAACGGAAATTGAAAGCTGCTTTTAAACCAACAGCGCCTTGCGATGTGATTGAGGACCAGCCAGCCGTCCCCGAGGGGTGACCGAGATTTGAACGTGTCGTATCAGCCAAGCAATATGGCCGCTTCTCGTATCCATTCCATTCCCTCGCTTTTCCTACGCGACACAAGAGAGGGAAAAGCGGCAGCTTGAGGCCAGCCAGTACATGGTACCAAAGCTGAAAACATTCTCGCAAACACGTCAAACAAGTACGACAGACAAACATCTTTGGAACGACAACGGATAGGTGCATACTTTGTATTGGCCACGAGCTGGCTCACACAACAAGGGCCCGAGAATGGCGAGCTGACCTTGGCGCTAGAAACACCGAATCTGGGTTATTCACGAATCACGTCCCCTGGCTGGTCAGCCGCCAAGATACCCAGATGGACTGCGCAGGCTTGCGTTCGACACGCTAAAAGGGGCAACAGGATCGTCTTTCGGCTGGCCTCCGGCTGTGACTGCCCAGGGGACGCAGGGGACGCAGGGGAAACGCGGGCTCGGCCAGGCTGGCAGCTTCTCGGCGCAAACTGAACCCCTGGCCGTGCGACGTGCCCGTCCTCCCCGCCCCCAGTGCAACGGCCATCTCAAGCCCACGGCCGAGACAACGGTCCAATCAGTGCTGACCCTCCCCGTCCTCCCGCTCACCTTTCCCGGAGCCCGCTAGGCAAAGAGACAGATTGCTGGATGGGCAGAAAGACACGCCCAAGCCGGTGCGACGGCCGAGCAATGCACGCTCGCAAGGGGCGGCGCGATGGTTGGCTGATCTCCTCCCGAGAGGCCAAGACGTGGTGTCACGCAGCAGGAGAGGAGACCAAGAACGGGGCTCCATCTTGTGGCCCCGGGGACATAGATGGCAAACAGGCACGGCAGCAGAGGAAAAGATGGAAACAGGTGACAAGACGAGATGGCGCACACCCCCATGTGGGCGTGCCCCGTGTTGACATCTGATCTGCGCACACGCTACGTCCTGGGAATATCGGAGCCGGTGGCCAAGCCAGCCGGCCGACCAGCAATCATGTCCCCATCGGCCCACCAGGCCGCCTCTGCTCGGGATGTCTCGGTCAAGGTCGCGCAGGACAGCATTCGCGAGGGAGAGAGAGAGAGAGAGAGAGAGAGAGAGAGAGAGCTGATTGTCTCAGTGACAGAGTAAGACACGTTCTCTATCATCCCGAGGGGCCCGAGTGGCTAATGAGGAAGGCAGGTGGCGAGCGGGAGAAGGGAGGGACAGGCCGGCAGTGTGCATGGCAACAGGATGCAAAAAACAAATGAGAGCTGGACGAGAGGGCCGGGAAAGGGGGCACCGACTTGGCCATGGGCGGACAACAGGCAGACGGGACCTGAATCGATCTCGTTCCTTTTTACGCCTGCTGCTCCTGAGCCGGTGGAGGAAACATCCAGGCCCGCTGGCAAACATCCAGCTCTACCGTCAGGCGGCGTTGCACCGGGAGGCGACCAAGAACCACACCCAGACTCCCCCAAGGCCCTGCGCAGAACATGGCTTAGTGCAGGCTTCCCCC